GGTTCCGAAAGAAAGGCGGCTTCGGGGTTCGGTTTTTGGGTTCAGGGTTTAGGGTTTCGGGTCTAGGGTTTAGGGTTTAGGGTCTAGGGTTTAGGGTTTAGGGTTTAGGGTTTAGGTTCAGGGTTTAGGGAGTAGAGTTTAGGGTTCAGGGCTTAGGGTTTCGGGGGGGTTTTAGGGGTTTTGGGTTAGGCTTCCAGGGTCCCTGCCCTTAAGAGTACATGGCCCCCAAGGGTTAAAATCAACCTCCCAGTGAATAGAATGCCAAGGACAGGCGCTTGCTATCCCTAAACCCTAACCCCTAAACCCGACACCCTAAACCCTAAACCCTGTACAACCTGTGCTGAGGGCGCACGCCGCATGGTGTCCCAAGGTGGGACGGATCACTTTTTGAGCTCAGCACTTCGAGCTTTGGGGAGGGGCTCGAGGCCTTTAGGGGTTTGGAGTTTAAGGCTTAGGGTCTAGGGTTTAGGGTTTAGCGTTTCGGGGTTTGGGTTTAGGATTCCCCCAACACACCCTCTAAACCCTAAACCCTAAACCCTAAACCTTAAACCCACCCTAAACCCTACACCCTGCACCCGAAACCCTAAAAACCCTAAACCCGCAACCCTCAACGCTAAACCCTATACCCTAAGCCCGCCCCAGGGGGTCCGTATCTTGTCGCGGCACTTTATCTTGCGATTGACTCGGACCCCACGGCTAGCATCGTGGATTATCCTCTTCTTGGCTGTGGCTTCGTCCTCCACGACGGCGAGAGCAGCAATCGCGCGGTTCTCACCGTAGTGCTCCTTGAAGGTTCGCATGGTCATTTTTCCATTAGCCCTTCCGCTATGTCGAACTTCTCCTAGACGTAGCTCACACGGGCCTTCACCGAATGGTAGTTCGGTACCCATCCTAGCGCAGGTTCCCACGGGGCGTTCTCTAACGGCCACTTTGTCTCGTCGAAGACGTGGGTGGTAGCGGCTCCAGAATGCCCAGGAGGGATAGCACTTCCAACGGCCGCGTCTGCGGCCCTGCCGTAGCTGCCGGTCAGCGTGTAGTTTCATCGCCAGTTGTGGCCTTGGCTGGCGCCGCGGTTGTACACTGTAGCGAGGAGTGCTTCCCAAAGCATAGCATGCACACATGTGCAAAGTGGCACTTGTCGTTCTTCTTGCAGCCCGCTTTGGAATTGTAGCGGAAGCAGATGGGCTTTCCGTCCGGCATGTTGCTAGCTCCTTTCTTCTTGGCCTTGCCGCCCTTGTCGCCTTTGCCCTCTCCCTTAGCCCGCTTCTCCGGCTTCCAGGGCTTGTTCGGGAGGGCCGGCCGCTTCGCATGTAGCGCCAGAGGTGTTGTGAAGTGTCGCTCTTTGACCATGGTGTCCTTGTAGCTCTTCGCCAGCGCCTCTCCGAAGGAGTAGCCCAGTGTGGCCATGAGTTTGTAGGCGTTCTTGCGAACGGCGTGCTCGTAGCCCAGGACCAAGGTCCACGGGGGAATCAGCCCCCCTGAGTCGTCACTCGAACGGAGGCCGTAGCAAGAGCCCCCTAAGAGGTAGTCCTTGTACTTCTCAAATGTAGCCATCGTGACATCTTGTAGCTCTGCTCTGCTGGGATGCTTGAGCTTGATCATGAGGAGGGCATTCTGTAGCACCGTCAAACGTAGCCTCAGCTGCTCAGGCCCAGAGGGCATGGCAGTCCTGGAGCGCCCCTTTTTGATAGAAAGCGTCCCTGCGGGCAGGAGCACCTCTGGATCAACTTCACGCAGCACTTCCGTCAGCGGTTCTGCCCGGAACTCCCCCGTCTCTAGCTCATGCAACTTCTTCTCTATGAGCTCTTTGGCCGGGACATGCTTCTCCTCTAGCTCCCCAAACTGCGCTGCCAACGCCGCCCTCATAGCAACGTAGTCAGCTTGTGGAATGGGTTTAGCCCACTCCCGGACCTCCCTCCTAGCTTCGGTCTTAGCCGCCTGCCAAGCCACCACAAACGCGGCCGCCTGGGACCGGTCGAGTAGCGATCCCGTAGGGTCGATGCCGAAGCCGTCCTTCATGACGCTTCTTAGGTCATCTTCACTGCTAGCAAAACAGGCGAATTTCGCCACTGTGTCCACCCCATTCTGGAAGAGCTCACCCTGATGATCTTTGGCCAGCCCATGCTGCGTGAGCAAGTAGCGCAGGTCTGGAGATCCCTTCTCTAGCTTGTCTTCCAGCGTCGGGGGCGCCGGTGGCATGCTGCTAGCTTTCGGTTGGCTATTAGCTGAAAGAAAAGAAGAGAGAGCAAAAGAAGTTTGAGCACTAGCAATGACATCCCAGTCGCTTGGAGTAGCATCAGCAAATCACCAGATTTCAAGCTTTAGCTCAGTTTCCCTCCTAGCTCGCCCTCTCTCTCTCTCTCTCTCCCTCTCTCTCTCCCTTGTCTCTCTTTCACTCAGGACAGCCCCTGTGCTTAGCTCCGGTTTAGGGTTTAGGGTTTAGGTATGAGGATTGAGGGTTCAGGGTTTAGGGTTTAGGATTAGGTTTTAGGGTTTAGGCTTCAGGTCTATGGTTTAGGGAATAGGGCTCGGGGGCCTTGGGGCTAAGGCGAACGCGGGGCCGCCAGTGGAGTTTCCCACGACACCTCGGATGCCTTGGCTCTCAGATGGTGAGACTCACCTGCATGAGGTTGCAAAGATCCTGAGCTCCGGCAGCTGAAGGGGTTTAGGGTTTAGGGTTAGGGTTTAGGGTTTAGGGTTTAGGGTTTAGGGTTTGGGGTTTGGGGTTTAGGGTTTAGGGTTTTGGGTTTAGGGCTGAGGGCTTGGGGCTTGGGGTTTAGGGCTTAGGGCTTAGGGCTTAGGGTTTAGGGTTTAGGGTTTGGGGCTTGTGGTTTCGGATTTGGGGTTCTAGGCTCCACAGCGGAGAGGCTGCCATGCTCCCCCTACACAAGGAGCACATTTTGGGTCGGAAGCGGGAGGGGCTGCTGAGGGTGTTAAGGGCTAAGCGTTTAGGGTCAGACTCTGGGGGTTTAGGGTTTAGAATCTAAGCCCTAAACACCTAGCCCTAAACCCTAACCCTAAACCCTAAACCCGAAGCCCTAAACCCTAAACCCCAAACCCTAAACCCCTAGTCCAGGGGTTGGGGCTTAATTGTGATTTAGGGTTTGGGGGTCTAGAGGTCTTCAAAGTTTCAAGGGTTCACCGTTTAAGGTTCAGCTGTTAGAGTTAGGGGTTCAGTTTCTATGGTTAGGATTTAGGGTTTAGGGTTTAGGGTTTAGGGTTTAGGGTTTAGGGTTTAGGGTTTAGGGTTTAGGGTTTAGGGTTTAGGGTGCAGGGTTTAGGGTTTAGGGCTTAGGGTTTAGGGCTTAGGGTTTAGGGCGTCTGGGGGCTTGGAGTTCATGCGCTGTGGCTTACGGGATTCAGGGCTTACAAGCGGCCCCAAGCCTGAAAGAGTCGTTAAGGGAGGTGGGTTCAAGGGGAGGGGGGGGGGGGGGGGGGCCACTTAAAGCTTAGTAAGTGGGATTAGAAGTAAGGTAGCCATACTTAAAACTGCTTATGACACCAATTGAGGTACTTATACCCCTAATTACTACGTGCCCCGATCCTCCAAGTAGGGAACCTTAGGGAAGCTTAGGGAGCCTGGGGGAGGGAACCCTGGGTTACATACCACATTGAAACCTGCAAAAAGGATCCTATGCCCCTGACCGCGCAGGGCGTCAACGCGACTTATAGGGTTTAGGGTTTAGTGTTTAGGGTTTGGGGTTTGGGGTTTGGGGTTTAGGGTTTAGGGTTTGGGGTTTAGGGTTTAGGGTTTAGGGTTTGTGTTTTGGTTCAGGGTGTGGGCTTGGGCCTTAAGGCTTGGGGAGGTTCAGGGATGAAACGCTAAAAAAAACCCAAAAAACTCCAAGAAGACCAAAATCCCAAACAAACCCAGACAAGCAAAACAAATAACCTAGACCATAAACCCTAAACCCTACTCCTACCTCCCTTAGACTTAAACAGCAACCAAATAACAAGAACCAAAAACCCCCAAAGTCCTCAAGCTTTCGTGGGCCCCGATGCCAAGCGTCTTGCTGGTCATCCAGCGGCCGCGCCTGTGCCTCGTAGAGCAGGTACTCCTGCAACTCCTGGTCGGCAAGATGGGGGTTCAGGGCTTAGGGTCTTGAATTTTGGGGGTTTTGGGATTTAGGGCTTAGGTTCCTGGGTTTAGGGGGTGTTGGGGGTTTTGTGGGTTTAGGGGGGTTTTGGAGTTTTGGGAGTTGAGATGGCTCAACCACCCCAAGAACCCGAAAGAAAGCTGCCAGGCCTGACATGTCGGTCCGATCATGTAGGGTTTAGGGTTCAGTCTAGGACTTAGGGTTCAGGGCCTAGAGTTTTGGGTTCAGCATCTTAAGGTGGTTGAGCCTCGAATTTAGGGTTCAGGGGCTGGCTTTCAGCAGCTAGGGTTTGGGGTTCAGAACCTACATTGTCGGGCTCAGCCTACGATTTAAGGTTCAGGGCCTAGTTCAAGGTTCAGCACCTTGGGTTAGGGGTTCAGGGCCTAGGGTTTAGGGTTCAGCCTAACCCTTGAAGGGTCTCCTCGTCCGCGGCCAACACAGAGTGGAGACCCTCGGCAGCAACGGGCCGGACCTTAGGCCCTCCGAGCACGGGTCTTCAGGAGGGTTTAGGGTTTAGGGTTTGCTCTAGGGTTTTGGGTTTTGGGTTTTGGGTTTGGGGTTTTGGTTTTGGGTTTTGGGTTTTGGTTTTGAGGGTTGAGGGTTCAGGGTTCAACCCAGGGTTGAGGGTTTGTGGGTTTTCGGGCTTTGGCTTGGGGGGTTTTAGGGTTCAGGGTCTAGGGTTGGACCACCCGTAGGTCTTGTTTAGTGCGACACAGCCCCCAAAACCCAGTCAAACAATTGGATGCAATCGAGGGAACTGGAAGCTAAACCTAGAACCCGAAAAAACGCACTTCAAGCAGATGAAATAAGAGAACTCTCCCTGCCCTTCGTCTTCTGCCTAAAACCCAAAAGCCGGAAACCCAAAAACCGAAGCACCTAAGCCCTAACCCTAAACCCTAAAACCTAAACCCAAAACCCTCGCCCTTGCAATCGAAGAGCCGACACCGTCTCCATGCCAGCAGACACTAAGGCCTGGCCAAAGCCATCCTTTTCCTTCGCAGGGGAGGTGGCTTTCGGGGAGTTTAGGGTTTCGGGTTCAGGGTTTAAGGTTTAGGGTTTGGGGTTTCGGGTTTCGGGTTTAGGGTTTCGAGCTTCGGGTTTAGGTTTTCGGGTTCGAAAGAACTCCAAGAGCCAGTTCGGGAGTTGAGGGTTCAGGATTTTGAGGGCTTAGAGTTTGTGGGTCTAGGGCTTTAGGTTTTAGGGTTTAGGGTGTAAGGCTTGAGGGCTTTGAGGTTTTAGGGTTTAGGTGTTGGGCCTAGGGAGTTTATGGGGCCCTCCCGAAACTTTCAGGGCTTACTTGGAGGTGCAGGGTGCTTAGTAACCCAACTGTAACTGTACTTATACCCCAATTGTAACCACACTTGGGTACTTGTGGGGCTTATAAGTGGGTTATCACTACAGTTGAAAGTGGATGCTAAGTAACCCTAAACTCTAAACTCTAAACCCTAAACCCTAAGGTCCCGGATAAGGGGTTCTAATAAGTGGGATATAAGTCCCTAACCCTAAACCCTAAACCCTAAACCCTAAACCCTCAATCCTAAACCCTAAACCCTAAACCCTAAACCCTCAATCCTAAACCCTAAACCCTAAACCCTAAACCCTAAACCCCAAACCCTAAACCCTAAACCCCTGGTAACCTCCAAGTAAAGCCCCGTCCATGCCAGGGCGGTAGTGCTGCGGCATGAGGAGAAGCGCCGATCCTTTGTGCACGCATGGCTTGGGCCATGATGTGGGGTTTAGGGTTTAGGGTTTAGGGTTTAGGGTTGAGGGTTGAGGGTTGAGGGTTTGGGGTATAGGGTTTAGGGTTTAGGGTTTGGGGTTTGGGGCTTGAGGTTTGGGGTTTGGGGTATGGGGTTTGGGGTTTGGGGTTTAGGGTTTGGGGAAGGGCGCTGACTCTCTTTGCTTTCACGCGCAGGTTTGAGAACATTGCCCTTTAGCTACAACAGGGATCGTGGTCAGGTTGAAAGAGTTTTCCATCATTGAGGGGTATTTCGGGTCTCTGGCAAAGCCATTCGACAAAGAAGCATCTAGCCTGTAAACTTAAGTTCAAGGCTTGGGGCGTAAACTTACGTTCAGGGCTTGGGCGCTTTAAGGGTTTCTGTCTTGGGTGTAGGGTTTTAGGGTTTAGGGTTTTAGGTTTTAGGGTTTAGGGTTTAGGGTTTAGAGGACAGGGTTTAGGGTTTAGGGTTTAAGGGTTTAAGGGTTAAGGGTTTAGGGTTTAGGGTTTAGGGTTTAGGGTTTAGGGTTTAGGGTTTAGGGTTTAGGGTTTAGGGTTTAGGGTTTCGGGAGGGCCTGAAAAACCTTGGCCGCACTTTGGTACCCTTGAGAAGCATTTTGCTTTTAGATGCCATAGCAAGAATCACAGCGGACTCAAAAAGGAGGAAAAACCCAAAGTTGCCCTAAACCCTAAACCCTAAACCCTAAACTTTGCCCTAAACACCAAACGAGGCACCACCATGCGGCAGTGCCGCACGCACTGCGCGCGCGACCTCCTCCTGTGAGACAGCGCCGTAGATGAGGTCGGCGGCGATGACCACCTTGGAAACTTGGGTTGCGGCTTCTGGGGTTTGAGGGCTTGGGGCTAAGGGTTTGAGGGTACAGGGTTGGGGTTTAGGGTTTAGGGTTGAGGGCTTAAGGTTTAGGGTTGAGGGCCAAGAAGAGGGTGCATGTTGTATGTGTGTGTGTGGTCTTGGTCTAAAACTAGATCGGATATTCTGAGGAGGTATTGTTGTCAGAAGTCCTTGAGGGTCTGCGAGGTACGCCTGTGCAGGTAGTTTGGGGTTTTAGGGCAGAGTGTTCTGTTTTTGTTGTTGCTGCTTCTTTGCTGTTGCTGCGGGTCGCGATGTTTTCTTTCTGCCGGCGCGGGCCGCAACAACCAAAAACGAACGGGTTGCTGCGTTGCTGCTGTGGGGGGGGGGGGGGGGGGGTGCTGCGGGGCACTTTTTTTTGAAGCCGGCGCGGGCCGCAACAACAAGAAAGATACACGGGTTCCGGGTTTTCGAAGAGGGTTGAGCATCGCCCGAAACAACCAAACAAGACCCCAAGACTCTCCCCCCAACACAAACCCAAGCCACAAGGGTGTTTGTCGACTACGCGTAGTTATGTGCGTGTATACATGCATGAAAACATAGAGGTGGACGCGAGCTTCCTAATAACCATTTCTTCTGCTTTCCAACCGTCAAAGACACATGAGTGCATGCTCAGTATGTACAAGACAACTGACGAACCCCTATATCAGCACAGGGACAACAGAACGTCAATAAATTATTAATTAGGTCTTTAGGGTAGAACCCTAAACCCCAAGCCCCAGACTCGAAACCCCAAACCCCAATACTGAACCCAAAGCCAACAAGCCCAAATGATCTGGAAACCTCAACCCCCCAAGGCCGAAACCCAAATCCCGCAAACTTAAGCTCAAAACCTAGGCCGCCCCCCTTCTGTGGGGAGGCGGCTAAGCCCCTTACAGCTAAAGGTCGGCGGCACCCACGAGAGGCAAGTCCTGAAGTGTCTCCCTGCCTCGGGAACCCTAAACCCTAAACCCCAAAACCCTAAACCCTGAACCCTAAACCCTAACCCCCCAAACCCTAAACCCCAAAACCCTAAACCCTGAACCCTAAACCCTGAACCCAAAACCCTAACCCCCCAAACCCTAAACCCCAAAACCCTAAACCCTGAACCCTAAACCCTAAACCCCCAAACCCTAAACCCTAAACCCTAAACCCCCAAACCCTAAACCCTAAACCCTAAACCCTAAATCCAATCCCAGCAGCCGTGGCCCTGCAGGCCAGCGCGAGGCAGCTGACGGCTTCCAAGTTGCGGAGGTCCAGCAGCTCCACCTGGGGGTTTAGGGTTTAGGGTTTAGGGTTTAGGGTTTAGGGTTTAGGGTTTAGGGTTTAGGGCTTAGGGTTTAGGGTTTTAGGGTTTAGGGTTTAGGGTGTAGGGTTTAGGGTTTAGGGTTTAGGGTTTAGGGTTTTTAGGGTTTTTAGGGTTTAGGGCTTAGGGTTGAGGGTTTAGGGTTGCAAGCCTAAACCCCTGAGCGCATCAGCAAACTGCCCCGAAGCCCTGGAGCCACACAAGCCCTAAAACGCTGAGGCCCCGCTCCACAAAAAGCACTCAAACCCCTAAACACCAAAGCCCTGAAACCCTAAACCCAACGAAGAGCTGTCTCACGAGTGATCTGGAGCAACAAACCCCCAACCCACAGCCCCCAAAACCCCAAAACCCCGAACCCCTAAACCCAAACCGCGAACCCCTTAAACCCCGAACCCCTTAACCCTAAACCCAGAACCCCGAAACCCAGAACCCCTAAACCCAGAACCCCAACCCCCCACAGCACTCGAAAGGACCCCCGCCCCTGCCTTCCCGGCGCACGCCGGGCCACCAGTGTATCTCAGGTTCAAGGCCTCGAGAATAAGGTTTAAGCTTTAGGGTTTAGGCTTTAGGGCTTAGGGAAGTTGAGGGTTTAGGGTTTCGGGTGTCAGGCTTAGGGTGTAGGGTTTAGGGCTTACGCCCTGTCCCTAAGGTTTCAAGGGCTTCAAGGTTGAGGGTATCTAACAATCCGAACCAGAGCCATGGAATCCCATTAGGATTTCTTAGCTGGCTTTGGGAGGAGGAAGGGACTCTCCCTCGGACCCCAAAAGTGGTACGCGATTTAGGGTTTAGGGTTTAGGGTTTAGGGTGTAGGGTTTAGGGTTTAGGGTTTAGGGTTTGGGGTTTAGGGTTTAGGGTTTAGGGTTTGGGGTTTGGGGTTTGGGGTTTGGGGTTTGGGGTTTGGGGTTTGGGGTTTGGGGTGTGGGGTTTGGGGTTTGGGGTTTGGGGTTTGGGGTTTGGGGTGTGGGGTTTGGGGTTTGGGGTTTGGGGTTTGGGGTTTGGGGTTTGGGGTTTGGGGTTTTTGGGGTTTGGGGTTTGGGGTTTGGGTTTGGGGGGTTTGGGGCTTGGGTTTGGGCAACCTTTCTGAAGATCCCCTCAGGGGAATATAAGGGCCATACTAGAAGTATGTCAAGCGATACTTTTCGGGGTACAAACCCCTAGGGTTCGAGCCTTAGCCGGACAGGGCCTTCCCTACCATCAGGAGAACTACAACCCTACACCCTGAAGCCCTAACCCCTGAATCACACAGGGTTTCGGGCTTAGTTAGGGTTTAGGCACCCTAAACCGTAAACACTTTGGCTTTGCCTCTTTGCCAAGGAAGGGGCCGCTGCTTCAAGGACACCAGGCTCCACGTCGGTGAGGATGCATCCTATGTCGGTTTTCACAATGCAGGGGTTCAGGGTTTAAGAACTTCAGAATGCAGGAGAAACGTTTAAGGCTTCAAGGCTTGAGGGCTTTAAGGCGTTAAGGCTTTAAGGCTTTAAGGCTTTAAGGCTTTAAGGCTTTAAGGCTTGAAGGCTTCAAGGCCGCTTTAAGGCTTTAAGGCTTTAAGGCTTTAAGGCTTTAAGGCTTTAAGGCCTTAAGGCCTTAAGGCTTGAAGGCCTTAAGGCTTTAAGGCTTTAAGGCTCTAAGGCCGCTTTTAAGGCTTAAAGCCTTAAGGGTTTAGGGCTTTCAGGCTTTCAGGGGTTTAGAGCTAAAGGGCTCAAGGTCGAATCAAGTTTAGGGAGCGGGGGAATTGCGCGCCTTACATCCGCGCACAGAACCCTTTAAGGTGGGTTTCGGGTTTAGGGTTTCGGGTTTAGGGTTTTGGGTTTAGGGTTTAGGGTTAGGACCCAAATGCCCTAAACCGTCGTGCCCTACTACGAGCCATCAGGTGAGCCGATATCCTGCTCCTCACATCCCCTAGCCGAGTCGCAAGTGCTGATAATAGCTCTCATGACAGGGGCATGGCAGTAGACAAACCCTAAAACAAAAACCCTAAACCACCCAAAGCCTAAACCCCAAAGCGCAAAGACATAGCACGACGAGAATCATACCTTCAGGGTTTAGGGTTTAGGGTTTAGGGTTTAGGGTTTAGGGTTAGGGTTTAGGGTTTAGGGTTTAGGGTTTAGGGTTTAGGGTTTAGGGTTTAGGGTTTAGGGTTTAGGGTTTAGGGTTTAGGGCTTTGCGTTCCCGGGTTCAGGTCTGCCTCAGCTGGCCTACCTTTGACGATGGATCTCCAGGAAGTCCAAAACCAAAGCCCGTGATTAGGGTTTAGGGTTTAGGGTTTAGGGTTTAGGGTTTAGGGTTTAGGGTTTAGGGTTTAGGGTTTAGGGTTTAGGGTTTAGGGTTTAGGGTGCCCTAATCCCTGAACCCGAAACCCTAAACCCTGAACCCTAAACCGAAATCCCCCCCCCCAACAAATATCCTCCACCCGAATCCCTGAGCTTGGGAAGTTCCGGCCAAATGTGTTTCAGAAAGACTCTACTTAGGGGGGAGGGGGGGGGGGGGGGAACCTCCCAACTCCCAATGCAGACTCGTTTAGGGTTTAGGGTTTAGGGTTTAGGGTTTAGGGTTTAAGGTTTAGGGTTTAGGCTTTAGGGTTTAGGGTTTAGGGTTTAGGGTTTAGGGTTTAGGGTTTAGGGTTTAGGGTTTAGGGTTTAGGGTTTAGGGTTTAGGGTTTAGGGTTTAGGGTTTAGGGTTAGGGGGGACGGGGTGAGGGTTTCGGGTGTTCGGGCTAACCTAAACCCTAAACCGTAAACCCTGAACCCTAAACCCTAGCTCCCCCTTTAGGGTATGTAGCGCTTAGGGCTTCGGGTTTCAACCGAGCCCCCAGCCTGCAGCGCGGCTGGCCGCGGCAATTCCAGCAACACCCACACCGCACCTTCGTGGATTTCCGAAGCGGCGGTGTGGGTTGGGGGCTTCTTGCCAGGAATTTGGACACCGGTACTTGCGGTTTAGGGTGTAGGGTTTGGGGTTTATGGTTTAGGGTAGGGCACCTTACTCCCTTATCAGCAAAATGTTGGGTTCAGGGTAGACAGGTTTGGAAGAGCCCGTAGGCAGAAGGTTCTTTTAAGTACTTCAGCGCCGGTTTAGCGCACAGCTCAGGGAACCCCCCCACGGCCCCAGAACCGAAAAAAAGGTCAGTTTAAGGCTTGAGTTTGGGGTTTAGGGTTTTTAGCGTTTTGGGTTCGTGTTCAGGTTTCATGTTTAGGGGTTAGAGAACCCTGAAACATCAAACCCCAAACCCTAAACACGAAGCGGGGTGGCCCTGAACCTCCGAAAATTTCTTCAAACCATCTAAAACCCAACGTAAGTCCCAAACGCTGCGCGTCCTTGGGCGAAACCCAAACCCCGAAGAACAAAAAACCCAAACCTCCTAAACCTCAAATTCCCAGACGCAGCACAGCAGCCCCCTGCCACCCCAAACCCTCCCTAAACCCCAACCCCTCCCACACCCAAAGAACGCGTTACACATGAATCTTGTGGCCGCATCCGGCATCATGACACGTAGATCTCGATCACAGTAGGTTTGTTTGGTGTTTAGGGTTTTTAGGGTTTAGGGTTTAGGGTTTAGGGTTTAGGGTTTAGGGTTTAGGGTTTAGGGTTTAGGGTTTAGGGTTTAGGGTTTACGATCAAGAAGCCTCTCTATCTTGCGGTCATGTCTTGCCGCGAGCTCTTCCCAAATCTGCGGACGCAAAACTCACGGTCATGATCGATCACCCGTTGCATCCTGTCAAGACATTTCTGCTCCTCTTCATCAGAACTAGTTGAACCCTAATTAACCCCTACACTCAAACCCAAAACCCTAAACCCCCAAGCCCAAACCCTAAGCACCAAAAAAGAAAACAGTCCAAACCCCAAACCCTATAAACATTTAAAACCCTGAACCCCAAACCCCAAACCCTAAACCCTCAACCCGCCAACCCCCCACGCCCTAAAACCCAACTCTAAACCCTCAACCCCAAACCCTTAACCCCTAAACCCTCAACCCCAAACCCTAAACCATAAACCCTAAACGTAAACCCCCCAACCCTCAACCCTAGACCCCAAACCCTAAACCCTAAACCCCCAAACCCTAAACCCTAAACCCCGAACCTGAAACCCCAAACCCGAAACCCGAAACCCCCTTGAAACCCCTAAACCCCTGGTGCTTGAAAGGTGCCCCAGCTCCAGCACCACCTGCCCCGCCAGTGGCCGCGCCAGGAGCTCGCGAGCCTTGGCTTTTCTGGTCCCTTGTCAAAGGATTTAAGGCTGAGGGCCTTGAGGTTTGGGGGTTTAGGGTTGTTTAGGGTTCAGGGTTTGGGGTCTAGGGTTTAGGGTTTTAGGGTTGAGGGTTTGGGGGTACGTTTAGGGTTTAGGGTTTAGGGTTTGGGGTTTAGGGTTTGGGGTTTAGGGTCTAGGGTTTATGGTGTGGGGGGTTGGGGGGGTTAAGGGTTTCAGGATTTGGGGTTTGGGTTTCAGGGTTTACATTCATATAGGGTTTGGGGCTTAGGGTGTGAGGGCTTATTTGTTTTGACTCCTTAAATTCCTTCCGAGGACTTAGGGTTGAGGGCTTCGGTTTCTGGGGGTTCGGGTTGAAGGTTTAGGGTTTACAGAAATTGTATACGGTGCTATTTCCACAGCGCCGTGCATTTTTGGAAAGGCCTCTTGGCGAAACCTGGGCTTTCGGGAAAAGTTGGCTTTCGTCTGTATTTCCTGGTTTTGGGCGGTTTCCCGAAAAAAGGCCTGTGGATGTTGAGCGGTATGCCGCAAACGGTCATCGAGCGCAACAAAAATGGATGAACTTGTGGCGACCGGCATGGATGCTCTTGTCATCGAGCGCAAAAAGAATGGATGTTCTTATGGTGGCCGGCATGGATGGTCTGGTCATCGAACGCAACAAAGATGGATGTCTTCATTGCATTTTATACCATTGTACGATAGAACTTCAACAGCCCAAGCTAGCAGAGTGCTGAACATATGCCTGACCGTGTCTGCCCGCACGGGCGCCGTTACCAAGCGCCTCTGATGCAATGGCGTTGGTGGCGAAGCCAAGCAACGAACAACGCCAGGAAGCTCTGTGCAACTGTTTGGCCTTGGCCTTTCTTGTCGTGTCTTCGCTGTTGAGGCGGTTAATTCTTAAGGTAGGCTCAGGTAACGTGTTGCTGAAGCGGGCCTTTGCAGCATCCGGAACTGCTCGGGATCCTGGCAGATGCTGCGGCCTGAGCGCTGGTGAGAATGGTGGTGAGAATGCTGCATCAAGCAAGAAGGCATGCTTTTTTGGAAGGGCGCTGTTCCAACGCCTGCAAGGTGGAAGAGTTGCACAGCCTTGGAGGTGCTCCACTGGCGGAGCTTCTTCATTTTGCTTTCCTGGAAACAAGTTCTATCAGGTTATGTCACTTATGGACTTGCATCGGGCCGCTTTCGAGTTACATGCACTCCAGTCCTGGCGGCCCCAGCACCGGCCAGGGGCACCCCGGCGTAAACCTCAGCACGCAGCGCGTCTGCGGAAGTGCAGAGATGACATGCCAAGGTGGTTGAGGGAGAGTACTTGGAGGGTCATGGTACTTGTTAACCAATTATCACTGTACTTACAACTGTGCTTATAACCCTATTAGGGCACTTCAGGGGCCTAAGAAGTACAGTTATAAGTACAGATATAATTGGTTACGAAGTACCATGAACCTCCAAGTATAATTAAGTCTTGCGCTCCGAAGCGGCCGCGCTTAGGGCCATAGCGGACGTTCAAGGGGCACTCTCGCTTGGGATCGCTGAACTTCGCTTGAACCGAAGTGAAAAAGAAGAGAGGCTGCTTTCTGAGCTGCTTGTTTCCCCTCTTAAAACGAGCTGATATTTGCAACGGGCGTGCAAACTGTCATGGTCCTCGAGTTTGGGAGTCCTCCCCTCGTGTCATCTGGGAGCGGCTTTGCACCCATGAGATCATGTGAAAATCTCCTTTGCCGTCTGGAGCTAAAGGGGTTAGGGTTTTATAGGGTTTTAGAGGGTCTTACGGGGTTTCATAGGGCTTTATACTATATAGGACTTGCAGGGGTGGCGTTGTGTTGGGCATTGGCGCCAAACCGCAGCCATGTTACGCTGCTTCATGTGCCATGCCTTGGTTGCTTTGCAGCAAGCGGGTCCAACTCCCCCACATGGAGGTTTCGCAGCATCCTAATGTTAGACACATGGCTCGCATGAGCCAGCCAGATTCCATCTGTACAAGTGTGTGGAGAGGCGCTTGGGCCGGCTCAGTTTTGCCAACATCCTGGAAATGTTTTGGGCGGGGGGTCTGACAGGGGGGGACGCAGCGATTGCTCAGAAAGCCCTCAGCAAGTGTCCAAAACAGCTCATTTCGAGCAACTGTCGAGGTCCGACCGCTTAGCGGCGAGTGCTTAGCGAGCGTTTGCCAAGGCTTTTTGGATCACTTAGAAACTTTGGGTCCCAAAAAGTTTTGAACGAAAAGTGTTGAAAGAAACGTTTTGGTTTTTTGGAAATATGTTGTTGCTTTTTTTTGAGGGGGGTTGGGGGGGGGGGGGGGGTTTTGGGGGGGGGGGGGGGTTGGGGGGGGGGGTTGGGGGGGGTGGGGGGGGTTGGGGGGGGGTTGGGGTTGGGGGGGGTTGGGGGGGGGGTTGGGGGGGGGGTGGGGGGGGGTTTGGGGGGGGGGGTGGGGGGGGGTTGGGGGGGGGGTTGGGGGGGGGTGTGGGGGCGGGTTGGGGGGGGGGGGGGGGTTGAGGGGTGGTTAGGGTAAGGTGGGTGGGGTTTGGAGATTAGGTTGCTTTTGCAGGGGCTTTTGCAGCACTATAGGCTTTCAGGTCTTCCAGGGGCGGTGAGGGTGGGTGCTCGGCTTTCTTGTGTTTCGGGCTTAGGGTTTAGGGTGGTTTAGGGGAGGGGGGTTTCACCGACAGCTGCATTAGGCTTTAGGGTCCTCAATGTACGACCTGATTCAAGCAGCCGAAGCTACGACCCATCCGAGGCCCTGCAAAGTACACAACTCCCCTCGTGGGCGTGCATCGCGAGATCTGAACGCGCTTCTTCGGCTCACTTCAAAACCTGAACCCTAAACCCCAAACCCTAAACCCTCCAAACCCTAAACCCTCCAAACCCTAAACCCTAAACCCCAAACCGGCTGCGCCCGTTTTCAACGGCCTCTGGGGCTCAGCCGACATGCGCCAGCTCGTTGGAGGTTTTTGTTTGTCGGCTTTTTTCAAGGGCGCCACCGGAACCCCCATATTTGGGCACTGGGACGGGATTTCAAACACCAGAAAAGTTCTTCTTCTGCTCGCAGCGCGAGAGAGAGAGAGAGAGAGAGAGAGAGAGAGAGAGAGAGAGAGAGAGAGAGAGAGAGAGAGAGAGAGAGAGAGAGAGAGAGAGAGAGAGAGAGAGAGAGAGAGGGAGAGAGAGAGAGAGGGAGAGAGCGCCAGCTGAAAGAGAGCTAAAAGAGAGCTAAAAGAGGGCTGGGAGAGAGCTAACCGAAAAGAGCTGAAAGCGAGCTGACAGCAAGCTGAGAGAGAGCTGAGAATGAGCCGAGACAGAGCAAACTAAACCCTAAACCCTAAACCCTGAGACAAAGCTGAGGGAGAGCTGACAGAGAGCTGAGAGAGAGCTGAGAGTGCGAGAGAGAGCCGAGAGAGAGTGAGAGTGCGAGAGAGAGCTGAAAGAAAGCTAAGAGAGAGCTGAGACAGAGCTGAGAGAGAGCTGAGAGCCATCTGGGCGTACCCTGAGGATTGCGCCCTTGAGATCCCTTCCTCGGGCGCATGTTGGGGCTTTCTAGAGACCCCCAAATCAAAAGCTCCTTTTCCTGTAAATGCTCTGTGCGCCAACTAGCTGGCGCCTAAACCCTAAACCCTAAACCCTAAACCCTAAACCCTAAACCCTAAACCCTAAACCCTAAACCCTAAACCCCCAAAAAGTGGCAAAAACTCCCGAACCGAAATCCGAAAGCTTCCATGCCCCGCCGCCAGGAGCAGCTCGGAGACCCAGAGCCTCCCCCCGGTCTGCAGCGGGCAGCCGTGGACACGGTCCTGGCTGCTTGTTGAGGAGGGTTTAGGGTTTAGGGTTTAGGGTTAGGGTTTAGGGTTTAGGGGTTAGGGTTTTGGGTTTAGGGTTTAGGGTTTAGGGTTTAGGGTTTAGGGTTTAGGGTTTAGGGTTTAGGGGTTTAGGGGTTTAGGGTTTAGGGTTTAGGGTTTAGGGTTTAGGGTTTAGGGTTTTAGGGTTTAGGGTTTTAGGGTTTAGGGTTTTAGGGTTTAGGGTTTAGGGTTTAGGGTTTAGGGTTTAGGGTTCAGCATCTCAAGTTCGAGCATTTACTAGGCCAGCAGTGTGTGTAGGCAACGGAAAAAAACCCACCCGCCCAAAGAATCCCATAACATTAAGAAAATAAAAAGTTTTCTTAATTTCTAGTCCGACGCACCCATGCCGTAACGTCTCACCCCTTCCAAGCACATCGCCCCCCGATAACCAAGACCTGGAATCATGCATTTTCACTGTCACTCGTAACGTTTCACCCCTTCCAAGCACATCACCCCCCGATAAGCAAGACCTGGAATCATGCATTTTCCCGCCTCACCCCTTCCAAGCACATCACCCCCCGATAAGCAAGACCTGGAATCATGCTTGGAAGGGGTGAGATGTTACGAGTGAAAGTGCATGATTCCAGGTCTTGCTTATCGGGGGGTGATGTGCTTGGATGATGTGCTTGGAAGGGATGAGACGTTACGAGTGAAAATACATGATTCCAGGTCTTGCTTATCGGGGGGTGATGTGCTTGGAAGGGGTGAGGCGTTACGACGGGCCGATCCTGGGGTCACCCAGGGGGGGGGGGTGGGGGGGGGGTGGCGGGGGCCCTAAACCCTACGGTTTAAAAGCCCCTGTCGGTGAAGGCTCGGTTTTCGTCGGAAAACGAGAGGCCACCCAGAACCGTCGATTTCAGTACTAAAAAATCGCATTCCCTAGCCGATTTTGGGGGGGTGGGGGGGTGGGGGGGGTGGGTGGGGTGTGGGGGGGGGGGTGGGTGGGGGGTTGCCCAGGAAAACGGCGACCTTGCCCAGTAAAACGGCGACCTTCGGTCACAAAATCGACCTTGCCCAGTAAAACGGCGACCTTGCCCAGTAAAACGGCGACCTTGCCCAGTAAAACGGCCGTTTTACTGGGCAAGGTCGCCGTTTTACTGGGCAAGGTCGCCGTTTTACTGGGCAAGGTCCATTTTGGTCAAAAAATCGACCTTGCCCAGCCCAGTAAAACGGCGACCTTCGGTCACAAAATCGACCTTGCCCAGTGAAACGGCGACCTTGCCCAGTAAAACGGCGACCTTGCCCAGTAACTCCTTGACATTTAAATTATATATGAAAGAGAGGTTTAGGGTTTAGGGTTTAGGGTTTAGGGTTTAGGGTTTAGGGTTTAGGGTTTAGGGCTTAGGGTTCAGCATCTCAAGTCCAAGCATTCACAAGTTAAGAAATTACTCCACAAAAATACCCACCCGCCCAAAGAATCCTACAACATTAAGAAAATATTCCACTTATGGAACGACCTTGCCCATGTGTCCAGCAAAAAATTACCTTGTACAGTAACAAAATCACCTTGCCCAGTAAACAAATGACCTTGCCCAGTAAAAAGAATGACCTTGCCCAGTAAAAAATGACCTTGCCCAGTCAAAAAATGACCTTGCCTAGTGAAAAAATGACCTTGCCCAGCAAAAAAAATGACCTTGCCCAGTAAAAAATGACTTTGCCCAGTAAAAACATGACCTTGCCCCGTAACTCATTAACATTTAAACTATATATGAAAGAGAGGTTTAGGGTTCAGGGTTTAGGGTCTCAGGGTTAAGGGTTTTAAGGGTTCATTCAGGGTCTCAGGGGTTATTTGGGGTTTTTAAGAATTTTTACGGGCAAACCGAGACACCGGGACGTCATTGCTGCCCGAAGCCATCTCCTCACCCCACCCCCCCCAAAAAAAAAAAAAACACCCAAATCACCACTTCGTTGGATCAGCATCAGGAGCAGAAGGTAAACGAAGAGACGAATGAGCCACAGGCCGCCACAGGAGCCAGCTCCATGAGCACGGCTGGCTCCTGTAACAGCGCCAAGGAAAAACGAGTAAATCGTGCTCAACAAGAAGGCCAAGCGTCCTCACCGAAGACCATCAGTTGTTCCTTGCAAGCAGCACCACACCAAATCCCGAAATTAGGGGAAGCTCCGATGTTTTTTTCAAGTCGAGACACAGCCAACATCCCATCCCAGCGAGTTTCCTGAAGTTCAAACAAGCAAGGAATTCTCAACAAAAAAAGACATAAATAGACACACGTATATATGTATAAAGCTAAACACAGATTCTGGCAAAATATAGACCACCAACTCTAAGTCACTGGCATCATTCTCCAGGAAGTTGTGGCTGTCCTGACAACATGTAACTACAGCTCACAGCATCATGGTCGCCTTCCTGCAATACCAACCCTATAAAACACGATCCCCTCCAACATATATACCTTCCACATCCATCTCTCCTCCTCTTCCTCCTTCACCTCATCCTCCATGGTGAGATTGATCACCTAATGGCCCACATCCAAGAACGACAACAAAAAGTTACTCAAACACGCAAGCAGTGCACACAAGGAGGACAAGTGGCCATGGGCACCGGATCGTGCTCAACCATGGACGCCTCACATAGTGGAAATACTGATTAAATGAACCCCCTCCAAAAAAAAAGGACCATGCAGCAAAATTGCCTGGACCAGCTAGTCCACATCGCCCAGGTCCTAAAGAAAAGTCCGGTAGTCGATACACATGTGAGTTTTAACTTGGAACGAAAAAAGTCTTTTATACCACCTCGACGATCTCCGGCTGGATCTGGATGGGGCCGCTCCCCTGCGTGTATTCTCAGTTTCAATAGATTTGTGACGAAGGGAATAAGTCATCCAAGTCACGTCCGGCAGGTAAAGGATAATTGGCTCCTCCCGCAAAGACCCCTCCCACCCCCACCCACCCACCAACAAAAAAAATTTTATTTAAAAAAAAAACGAAGGACCGAAAAGAAGAAGAAAGGACTCCTCGCCCAGGTCATCCTGACAAGCCCCCCGAGCAAGTACTTACAGCACCATTTTGCAGGACAAGAACATCCGAACCCATGCATAGGTCATCCAAGTTACAGCTGGCAAATAGACGATGTGCGGCGGCTGCTGTCAAGACCGCCCCCCACCCGCCCCCCACCCCCAAAAAAAACAGAAAAGAAAATCTAACAAAAAGAAGGAATAGAAAGAACAAACGCCTCGTAGGCCGGGCCGTCCCGAGACACCTCACCAGCAACTACTTGCAGCAACAATTTGCAGAACAACATCATCCCCGCAACAAAACACAAACTAGAAAAAAAAGATGGAATGGAAAGAACAAACGCCTCATGGTACGGGTCCGGGACGTCCCAGGACGCCTCACCAGCAACTACTCTCAGCAACAATTTGCAGAACAACAACATCCACACCTGGACGACGACCACGCCGAGCACAACAGCCGCCAGCACCACCGATGCTCCTGTGAAAGGAGAGAGAAACACAAGAATCACAGGATAAAGACGGTAGAAGGGAGAAGAGAGGAGAAGGGAAAAGGCAGGAAGGCTCCTCGCAGCGACATGACCTGGGACGTAACCAAAGAAGTTCTGGAGAAGAATGTGTTTCATCATCAAAACAACAAGCCGGGGGCGCCTGAAACAATGGCAGATAGCAAGGACAGGATCGCAAAGTTGCTCGAGCTACAAAAGGTCACGAAGGACAAGGTATTCTTTTTCCCGAAAGGGTTATAGAGGGAGTTCATATCCTGGTGACAAGTCACACGCAACACTGATATGTCTTCTTCTTTTTTCGTCCTTGCAAACATGCCCTTCCCAATCAAGATAACACCAATTTCAGGACAAGCTCCGAGAACACAGCATCCACGGCAAGGTTTTTTCAGGGCCCTAAGGTTTATTTGGGTGTAAGCTGTTAGGGTTTTAGGGTTTAGGGTCTAGGTGGAGGATCTTGCTGGGTTCAGGGTTTAAAGGTTCAGGGACAGTGGCTTCACTACGCAATTCTGCCCTAAACCCTAAACTCAGGGCCTAGGCCGTCCCCCTACGTTGGGGGGCGGCGCTGAAGCTCTTCGACGTCGATGGCGCAAGCCAGGTCGCTCGCCCGCCTCCCACAGCTCGGGTGTCGGTAGCACCCACGATACCGGAACACGTTCTGGCTTTGCCGCCTCGAACAGCGTGGGGTGGGAGAAAGGTGCTAGATGGCCCTCCACAATCGGGCCAAAGCTGGTCTTCGCACCTCACGAAGCTTTCGAGCTTGTTCCGAAAACTAACCTTCACAGCACCTACGCCCTATCACAGCAAACCCTAAACCCTAAACCCTTAACCCTGAACCCTAGACCCTAAACCCTATTCTGTGCCTCATCGGATATGGATTGGGGAGTCGTTGCCGGGCGCTGGGCAAAGGAGGCTCGCAGCTCATCCCTGACGTCGACCAACGTCGTCATCACAGTCTCGACCATGGAAGTGAGCGTGTCCGGCAGGGCTGAAGAGTTTAGGGCTAGGGTCTGGGGTTTAGGATGTAGGGTTTAGGTTTAGGGATTCGGGTTTAGGGATTAGGGGTTAGGGTTAAGGGTGTCAGGGCACAAGGGAATTGCGTTCAGGGGTCAAGGGCTTTAGGGTAGCAGGTTTAGAAACTAGGAGGGGTGACTTCTGGGATGCAGGATTTGGGTTCAGGGCTTCGGGCTTTGGGTTTACGATTTCGGATTTAGGATGTAGGGTTCAGGGGTTTAGGGTTTAGGGTTTAGGGTTTAGGGTTTAGGGTTTAGGGTTCAGGCAAGGTTGGTTTGCTTTGAGATCGGCTTCTTGGGGGCACCCTTCTTGGTTTTAAGGGGATTAGAAGGGAACCCCAACCCGACGAAAGGGAAAGAAGCCTTCATCGGGATTATGGTACCATTATAATCCCTATTCCTCAAGTATATAAGGACTGTTAGCATAAGGAGAGCATCCCAAGCCATGAGGAACCAGCGGGCATGGGAGGGAGGGTGGTGTAAGGACACATCTTCCCCCAAATGAAAGCTGCAATATGCCCAAACAAAACCCTGAGTTGGGGTATGTAGGGTTTAGGTTTCGGTTTCCCAAGCTCCTGAAGCCTAAACCCTAAACCCTAAACCCCAAGCCCTAAACCCTAAACCCTAAACCCTAAACCCTAAACCCTAAACCCTAAACCCTAAACCCTAAACCCTAAACCCTAAACCCTCCCCCTTGGCTCCTGCAGGGATTCGCTTGCACTGCCGAAGGCCGCCACTCGGAGTGCGGCGCGGGGGGGTGCCCCTGGGGCCCGGAGCTTAGGATTTTTAGGGCTTAGGGTTTAGGGTTTTAGGGTTTAGGGTTTAGGGTTTAGGGTTTAGGGTTTAGGGTTTAGGGTTTAGGGTTTAGGGTTTAGGGTTTAGGGTTTAGGGCTTGGGGCTTGGGGCTTAGGGTTTAGGATTCCGAGGGGCTTGAACCTAAGCTCTTTCTGGTTGAAGGGGAAGCCCTAAACCATAAACCCTAAACCCTAAACCCGAGGGCTCAGAGATTTAGGGTCAAAGGGCTTAGGCTTCGTCGGCGCCGGGTCTTCTCATTGCGGTTCGGCAGGGAAAAGTGAAGGCGGGTGCCTCCGAAGTTCATGCAGGCCCTCAGCCCTAAACCCTAAACCCTAAACCCTAAACCCCCAACTTCAGACCTAACCCAAAAAACCGAAAGCCTACACTCCAAATGTTAAACACCCAAACTTCCGAAGCCCCAAAAACTCGAAGCCTTTCAGGGTTCGGACCTCCATAATTTTCTGCCATAAACCCTAAACCCCAAACCCCAAACCCTAAACCCTAAACCCTAAACCCTAAACCCTAAGCCCTCCCTACTTGACGCTTCACGGCCCTGGGGGCTCTGAGTCAGGCAGCTGTACCTCTCGTCTCAACTGAGGCACGCAACCTTTCTTCCAAGCCCTAGAGACTAAGGGGCTAGCCTCTAGCCATGATGCTTTGCATCCTAAGCCCTACGTCCGAACCCTCAACCCTAAACCCTACACCCCTAATTCAGCCTAAACCCCTACACCCCTCCTAGCCCTAAACCCCAAACCCCCAAACCCTAAACCCTAAACCCTAAACCCTAAACCCTAAATCCTAGCCCTAAACCCCAAACCTTAAACCCTAAACCCCCTTTCCAGTACCCATTGGCAGCCTCCGGCTGGGACGGCGCAGGGCTCTGAAGAAAAGCCTCAGAGCCGGGCCAAGGGCACTGAGAATTTGGGGCTTAAGCCTTGCAGCTTAGGGTTTAGGGTCTAGGGTTTAGGGTTTAGGGTTTAGGGTTTAGGGTTTAGGGTTTAGGGTTTAGGGTTTAAGGTTTAGGGTTTAGGGTCTAGGGTCTAGGGTTTAGGGTTTAGGGATTAAGGTTTGCAACTGAGGGCTCCCCCCTTCTCGCCAGCACCACTCTGAACTAGGAGTAGCCTTCAAATGGGGGTTACGAAAATAGCGGACCCCTAAAAAAGAACCCAAATAATCGGAAAAAGGGACCCCCAACAAGGTCCCCAAACTCGGAAACCCCCCAAAAAATGGGAAACTAGCAGATGTGCGGTGCCGAGCACCGAAGCGGGAGACCAGAAACCTGATTGGCCTGAATAGCTCGCGGCCCGTCAAGATGAGAGAGAACTGAGTCCCCAAGAGTTGCAGGGTTCGCTTGTCTTTGGGCTTCCCTTTGGGGGGGGGGTGCTTCGACCTCAGGCTGGTACCCCGCCTTGGGCCCCTACCTGTTAGCCTTGGGTTCGTTTCTGTGGTTGATAGTTTCGGCTTCGGGCCCTACGAGCGCAGGGCAGCAGAGTCCGAGGGAAAGAAAGGGTACAGGGGCTCGGTTTAGGGTTTGAGGGCTTGAAAAATTGTCAGGGTTTAGGGCCTCGGGTTTAGGGCTTAGGGTGGGAACAAGCAGAGGGTTTTGCGGACGATTTGATGAAAGCCACGACCTGGTCTTCAGTTGTTTAGCAAAGGTGCGAATCACGTAATGAGCTTTGCAGAATCCCATCCAGGACTCCTCCTCAGTCGCAGTGGCGCTTGGTGTGGGACGTTGGGGGGGGATCAGGGCTCAGGGCTCGCGGTTGTGAGGCTCTGGGGGCTGAAGGGGATTTAGGTCCTGGGGACAGCTGCAGAGCTGAGAAAGTAAGCTTCAGGGTTCAGTTCATTGTTTAAGGATTTTCAGGGCCCAAGGCCCTAACTCCCCTGAACTCTATACCCTAAAACCCCAAACCTCTCGGTCCCTTGTTTGGACGGCTTCAAGTCTCAGGGGTGGGGGGCTTAAGGAGGAAAGGCCCCTTTACGAAAAAGCAGCCATGAACCTTGTACTTCCCTTCAACCCTACACCCTAAACCCCCAAACCCTAAACCCCAAACCCGAAACCCTAAAACCCTAGACCCCTGAAAGCCCTTCCCCGAACCGAAAGATAATTTTTATGTACTTGGGCTTTATGTTGAGTAAGGCCCACAAACCCTGAAACATAAGGATTCAAGGGGGGGCTGTAAGGGAGGGTGGTGTAGGGGCCCATCCAACATGCCAAATGAGCCTTGATTCGACAAAGTTGCCTCCTTATACTTCCCCCCTTATACTCCTTCACTGAAGCCAGCACCCTTAACCCTAAACCCCAAACTGCACCATTGTTAGGGTACTGTTGGAAATCATCACTCTCGTTCCTTATTGGGTTTAAGTATGCATACATGTAAAAATGATTTCAACAATGACCCAGTAGACCCTACACCCTAAACCCTAAACCCTAAACCCTACCTAAACCCTAAACCCTAAACCCTAAACCCTAAACCCTCCCTAAACCCTTTACCCTAGACCGGCCTCGCAATCTAGCTCGTGGCGGTCAGCGTGGTCGCCGACCGCAGAGAGGGCAAAGTGGCAGGCTGCCTCCGCATGCCTGGGCAATCTGGGCTTCTACTTTCGGTCTAAGCTTCCTAGACCCTACACCCCAAAACGCTAAATCACAAACACTAAACCCTAAACTCTGAAGTTGATGGTGCTTCCCGAAACCCCAACCCTAAACCCTAAACCCTAAACCCTTGAACTCAGAACGCCAACAGGGCGAGGCATTTGTGGGATTGAGAAGGTGCGACTTGGGCTCCTGGGATCCACAGGTGGGTCCTCAACTTGGGACCCTTCTTACGTAACCCTTTTGACCCTAAACCCTAAACCTTAAATCCTAAACCCCTAAAACCTAAACCCTACACCCTAAACCCTAAACCCTAAACCCCTGAACCCTAGGACTGAGCCTTGAGGCCTCTCAGCATTTCGGGGCCCCGAAGTCCTAATCCTCCCCCCAATCGTGGCCATGTTAAGATGGGGCACGCCGCCGCCACCGCCGCCTCCTCCTCGGGGAGGCCCGTCTTGCCCAGGTGCCACAGCACGTGCAGGTGAGTGCGGAAGACCTGTAGGGGCTTGCGGGATGTTCGGGTTCAGGTTTCTAGGGCTATTTAGGGTTTAGGGTCTGGGGCTTAGGGTTTAGGGTTTGGGGTTTCGGGTTTGGGGTTTAGGGTCTAGGGGTTAGGGTTTAGGGTTTCGGGTTTCGGGTTTAGGGTTTAGGGTTTAGGGTTTAGGGTTTAGGGTTTAGGGTTTAGGGTTTAGGGATTTTCTGCCTAGGGCTCGGAGTTTAGGAAGCTTGTGGCACAGGTGACTCGAGGCCCATACGCACCCCGAGTCCCTCAAAAGAATCGGTCCGCTGGAGGAGGAAGCTCCGGAATAGGGTTGAGGGTTGAGGGGTTTAGGGTTTAGGGTTGAGGGTTCAGGGTTTAGGGTTGAGGGTTTAGGGTTGAGGGGTTTGGGCTTAGGGTTTAGGGTTGAGGGTTTTGGGTTTAGGGTTGAGGGGTTCAGGGTTTCGGGTTGCGGGTTGAGGGTTGAAGGTTTAGGAATAGCTGACCCGGAGCCCTAAACCCTCACTCACGTCGTGGTTTAGGGATGTTCAAGGTTTGGGCTTAAGGCTGAGGGTTAGGGTTCAGGAGCTCAAAATAGTGAGCTAGGGTCTGGGTTGGAGGGTCTTCAAAAAGACTAAACTGAACTACGCCGTCTTCAACCCAGCTCAAGCCAAACAAGAAAGATTCAAGCAAACACAAGAATCAAACTGAACCACAAGCCCCTACTTGACCCCAAAAAACAAACTTAAACTACAATCAAAGCCCTAAGCCCTACCCCTTCCGAAAGCCCTAAATCCTAAACCCTAAACCCTAAACCCTAAACCCCAAACCCAAAACCCTAAACCCTAAATTCCCACCCGGCCTGCTTAGGCCGTACGGCCCCCACGGGCCCCCTGGCCAACTGGTCCCCAGCTTCTAACCCCTCCTACCTTCACCACCTTTGTAGGGAAAGCAATGGTGGGCATTGAGGGCGACAGCCATAAACCCTAAAAGGCAGTGGTTTGGGTGGTGGCCTGTGAAAGCTCACAGCAGGTGGGGGAAAAGAAACCTAGCACCAATGAGAATTGGTGGACTGCATTGGAAACAGATGCCTTCGCGTGACATGCCGCCCCCCCCACACCCCCTGGGTATGTTGGGGCGCCATTTACACATGTTACTTACTGCCGCTGGCGAGACGCCCTAAACCCTAAACCCTAAACCCTAAACCCTAAACCCTAAAACCCTAAACCCTAAACCCATAAAAAGAGACCTCGGCCCCAATCTCCGGAAGTAACTCCATGAGAAAGACCAGCAGGCTCAGGATGTCAGGAACCTTGAGGGTTTAGGGTTTAGGGTTTTAGGGTTTAGGCTTTAGGATTTAGGGTTGAGGCTTGAGGGGTTTAGGGTTTACGGTCTGGGTTTGAGGTTTAAGGTTTAGGGTTTCGGGTTGAGGGCTTAGGGTTGAGGGTTGAGGGTTGAGGGTTGAGGGTTGAGGGTTGACGGTTGACGGTTGAGGGTTGAGCTCAGCAGAAGCTCTTAATGCGTCACCTGTACGTACAATTGCAAAGATCCTTATGTTTGGTGCCTTGTGAAACATGTAACTTCGGCTACCCCAAACCCTAAACCCTAAACCCTAAACCCTAAACCCTAAACCCCAAACCCTAAACCCTAAACCCTAAACCCTAAACCCTAAACCCTAAACCCCAAAAGGCCAAAAGGCCAACAGGCCAAGGAGTGGCGAGGAGACACCTTCTGCCTAGGCGATGCTCCCAGACCCTCAAGAGACTCCAACCCAAAACCCTCAAGGCTCAGCCCTTAACCTTGCACCCTAAACCCGAAACCCTAAACCCTAAACCCTAAACCCTAAACCCTAAACCCTAAACCCTAAACCCTGCTTCTTTTGGAAGGCCTCTTCACCACCGACTTGGCATTGGCCCGGGCAGTCTTAGCCAGCGGCTTGACTCTGGGAATCTGCTTGCTGGGCTTCTTTGGTCTACCCCATTCGCAAGCTCGGCTGTCGCCTCCAGAGGAAGGGAATCCCCAAGTTACCACAGACCCGTCAGAACGGACCGCAGCAAAGGCGCCACAAGTCGCCTGAAGGGAGACAACGTCCTTCAACTGTCCCTGCACCGCGTCACTGTCGCCGCCCCAGTCAGCTTGCCCCCAAGTCACCACCGACCCATCCCCTCGAAGCGCGGCAAAAGCGTTCTCAGTTGCCTGTATGCTTCTGACGTCTATCAGCTGGGCCTGCACAGCCTTGCTTGCTGCCTGCTTGAAGTCTTGGTCCCATGTCACAACAGACCCGTCTGAACGGATTGCAGCGTAAGGCCCCCACGCCGATGCGGCTTGCAGTCGGACAACGTTCCTTAGTCCACTGCTAAGCCATTTTGGGATAGAGTGACCCCAAAGTCGCACCGTTCCATCCGGCTGAACCACAGCGATGGCCGTATCAAGGCGCATCATACCAGCTGCACCAGCACCGTCTGGGACCAGCATGCACCCATGGCCGCTGACTGACTCAAAGCTAAGCGCCAAGTGCCCGTCTTTTGTGGCAGCAGCCCAATAATTACCACCCGCCTGGAAGAAATCAATGATGTCAAGCCCAGTAGATTGCTCACCATCTCCCGTCAAGCCCCAGAACACAACCCGGCCGCCGGCTTTGATGGCTGCGAAGCCCCACCCGGCGTCGTAGACCTGTAGAATGTCTTGCAAGCTGTTGCGAACTTTCGAGCTGTCCCCCCCAAAGGTACGCTGGCCCCATGTCACCACCTGCCGCCCCGTTCGTATGGCTGCAAAAGCCCCGTTGGTTGCTTGGATTTGCTGCACATCATGCAGCTGATCTCTCACTGCACCGCAATCGCCACCTGACCAGGGGTCTCCCCAGGTTACCACGGATCCGTCCGCCTTGATTGCGGCAAAGGCTCTGAGGTTGGCCTGGATCTGGCAGACACTGTGGAGCTGGGCTTGTACCATGGAACTGTCACCCCCGCTATCCTGCCTCCCCCAGGTTACAACAGAACCATCAGCCAAGAGAGCAGCGAAGGCAAACGCAGATGACTGGATCTGTTGCACATTCTGCAGCTGATGCTGAACTGCACTGCAATCACCGCCGGCGTGCCGGGCTCCCCACGCCACTACGGTGCCACTGCTAAGGATCGCTGCAAATGCATGCTTCGTTGCTGCGATCACCACGTCCCGAACGACTGCCGTGATGACATCGTAAGCTTGCACGCCTGCTTGTTGCAGTGTATCTGATGGCAGCAGGACTGCGCCTGAGCTGCTAACGAGTTTCCCGAGGCTCTTGCTGACCTCCTCCTGGGCCATTTGGCGCAGCTCTTCAATCGTGGCGAGCCACGGCAGGACGATGGTAGTCTGCTCACCACTCAGCAAAGCCACGTGCACGGTAACTGATGACATGGCTGTGAGAGCCCTGTGCGTGTTCAAAGGTTCCTCAGCCACATAAAGGGGTCTAGTCTAGTTGATAAAACTCGGTCTTTAGCACCAACTTGAACATCTGATCTGTATCTCATCCGAAAACCTGCCTGGGTGCTTTGGGTCATTAGTTCGTATTCTTCAACGGGGATTTTCTGTAGTTGTTCATTAAGACGATATCATAGGGGACGACAGCAAACAGGCAACATCGGAGCCGCATTCATGCCTGCACAGCAACAAATGCATTTGGTCATTTCTCCAACTTAGAGTCCTGTTTCAATTTACTTGTACAAGGCGGCCTCAATATTTAGGGTTTAGGGTTCCTAAACCCTAAACCCTAAACCCTAAACCCTAAACCCTAAACCCTAAACCCTAAACCCTAAACCACATTCTAGAGAAGTGACCATGTGGCGTCACTGGCTGGTCAGAAGCCATGATCAGCCATAAGCTTTCCCATGTCTACTCCAAGCACTCGGATGTTGAGCGATACCTGGGGTTTAGGGTTTAGGGTTTAGGGTTTAGGGTTTAGGGTTTAGGGTTTAGGGTTCAGGGTTCAGGGTTTAGGGTTTAGGGTTTAGGGTTTAGGGTAAACTGCAGCAGAACAACGGCTGCCGATTCGTGCCTGGATGGCTGACGTGCACTACTTGCTGCTGAAATTTCCAGATTTAGGGCCTTGCTTTGGAGACCCAAAGCCCTCAACGGTTTGGGGTTTAGGGTTTGGGGTTCCCTAACCCTAACCCTAAACCCTAAACCCTCAACCAAGGGACGGCGGAAGTTCATGGACTAGGTCTAGGCTTCACGATGGGAAACTTTCGAGACGCGTGCCTCTTGGGAAGCACCTCGAACCCCGAACCCTGAGGCCCTAAGCCCCAAACCCGAATCCCGAAACCCCAAACCGAAAGCCCTAAACCGGTAAACCCTTAGACCCACCTGAACCCCCCTAAACCCTTAGACCTTGGGATGTTCCCCCTTTTTGCTAAAAAGTCCTTAAGAGGGATTATGATCGGGCCCTATTCAGGAGTGCTAGTATAAGGGGGAACATCCCAACCAACTAAGGACTGTTAATATAAGAGAACATCCCAACGGTAAGCCCTTAAAACCCCCTGAACCTCCCCCCGTAAACCCTAAACCCTAAATCCTAAACCCTAAACCCTAACCCCGGACCCCAAACAGCAAAGCAAGGAGCGAGCTCCCGGTGAGATATACCCAGCCGCAGCAGTCGCGGCACGAGCCCGACCTATGTGTTCGTTCTAGGGTTTAGGATGTAGGGTTTCGGGTTTAGGATTTAGGGTTTAAGGCGTTCTTAAAACGGGCTCTTGGGCTTCTAAGCGGCGAAAAGGGTTGCTTAAGGGCTGTTAAGGGTGGTGGGATGAGGGTTTCGGATGTTTTGGGTTTTAGGGGGTGTGTGTTAGAGTTGCAGGGGGGTGAATTTACTTTTCGAGCTTTAAGCGTGTTGGATTGTGCGTTCGAGAGCTTTGCTTCAGTCAGCCAGGCCACTTGCCACCAACTGCCCTGTGTTGCGTGTCCAATGGAGTCGTGTATCCCTAAACCCTAAGCCCTAATTAAACTTCACTCTCCGAAGAAACACACGTTCTCTCCCGCGGACCGCTTGTCTTAAGGTTTGGGCCTAGGGTTTAGGGCTTACATGAGTACAAGGAGATTGCAGGGGCTTCAGGCTTGTTGCGGCGCGTTTCAGGGCTTTGGGGGCCTTCAGGGTGTGCGCCTTGGTCTTAAGGGGATCAAATCGAGCCGCGACTGGGGGCCCGTTGTTTGCCCAGGGTGCGATCGTCTTACCAAAACATGCGTAACTTCATTGTAAAGTCCTGAACCCTTGGAAACAAGCTGGAGGCCCTAAACTCCCTAAACCCGAAACCCGAAACCCGAAACCCGAAACCCTAAACCCTAAATCCTAAATCCTAAATCCTAAACCCTAAACCCCAAACCCTTGACGAGTTCTAAAACAAGGTCCCATACCGAGGTGCATCGAAGCGGTCGAGGCACTCGGCGAGGGCGTCCTGAGGTTTGGGCTCCCAGGGTGTGGTCCCACAATTAGGGTTTAGGGTTTAGGGTCTAGTGTTTAGGGTTTAGGGTTTAGGGCTTAGGGCTTAGGGTTTAGGGGTTTAGGGGTTTAGGGTTTAGGGTTTAGGGTTTAGGGTTTAGGGTTAGGGTTTAGGGTTTAGGGTTTAGGGCCTAAACCCTAAACCCGAAAGAGTTTAAGTAGGGGAACTTAAGGCTTTCAGGGCTTGAAGGTCTTAGAGTTTTCAAGGGATGCAGAGTCAGGGTCGCGAGGATTCAGGGTTTAGGGTTTAGGGTTTAGGGTTTAGGGTTTAGGGTTTAGGGTTTGAGGTTAGGATGTCAGGTCCAAGGTTGGGGAGGGCGTAGCCTTAGAACTTAAGAGGGCACTACTTGGAGGTGCAGGGTACTTCTCACCCACTTTTTACTGCGGTTACAACCCAACCCACTTATAAGCTCCTTGAGGATTCGAATAGGGCTGCTGCACTTGGGTTACGAGCACAGTTCTACTTGGGTTACTAAGTACCATGAAAATCCAAGTAGGGATTCTGAGCTAGGGCTTTCGGGATTCGAGCAGGAGGGAATCCCAGAGTTGAATGGCTCTCCTTGCTGCCGTTCTGTGATGAGCTCAGGGTTTAGGGTGTAGGGTTTACGCTTCAGGGTTCCCTTCAAACCCTTCATCCTGCAAAGTCCGAAAACTCTGAACCCTTTCACGCCCTTTGAAACCTAAACCCGAAACCCTCCAAACCCTAACCCTAAACCCTGAACCCCAAACCCTCTAGGGGGAACTATAATCCCCATTAAGGACTGTTAGTACCAGGGGGAACATTCCAACCCTAAACCCTGAAGCCTAAACCCTAAACCCTAAATCCTAACCCTAAACCCTAAACCCTAAGCCCTAAACCCTAAACCCTAAACCCTAATCCGTGCAACATCCCAGCGGCCGGGTCGGCAGTGAGCTGCGCCTTCTCCACCAAGGCCCGCACCTGCACGGAAGGTCCCCTGAAAGGCTCTTGTTGCAAGCCTGGGGTTTGGGATGTTTCGGAGTTTGGGGTTTAGGGTTTAGGGTTTAGGTTTTGGGGTTTAGGGTTTAGGGTTTAGGGTTTAGGGTTTAGGGTTTAGGGTTTAAGCTGTAGGGTTTAGGGTTTAGGGTTTAGGGCTGAGGGCTAGCACCCTAAACCCTGAAGTTACGACAGCCCTGAGGCCGAGGAGCCACGCCGAGGCCGCCAGGGGGCCAGGCGAGCTCCGACTCGTCCAGGAGGAGATCGGCGGCGCCACCTCCCGAAGAGGGTTTAGGGTTTAGGGTTTAGGGTTTAGGGTTTAGGGTTTAGGGTTTAGGGTTTAGGGTTTAGGGTTTAGGGTTTGGGGTTTAGGGGTTTAGGGTTTAGGGTTTAGGGGTTTAGGGGTTTAGGGTTTAGGGGTTTAGGGGTTTAGGGGTTTAGGGGTTTAGGGGTTTAGGGGTTTAGGGGTTTAGGGGTTTAGGGGTTTAGGGGTTTAGGGGTTTAGGGGTTTAGGGGTTTAGGGGTTTAGGGTTTAGGGTTTAGGGTTTAGGGTTTAGGGCCCGAAAACCCACGCCACAGCCAAAACCAACCACTTCAACCACAACAAGCCGCCTCAAGACCCTGATCGCCCAAACAAGTTCCCAAATTTCCTGAACTCTTGAACCCTAAACCCATTTTAACCCTAAACCCTAACCCCTAGACCCCTAAACCCCTAAACCCCTAAACCCTGCAAACCCTGAACCCTGAACCCTAAACCCATTTTAACCCTAAACCCTAAACCCTAAACCCCTAAACCCCTAAACCCCTAAACCCCTAAACCCCTAAACCCCTAAACCCCTAAACCCTAAACCCCTAAACCACTAAACCCTGTAAACCCTGAACCCTGAACCCTATAACCCCCCACCCCCCCTAACGTAGAAAAAGTAGACCCAAGGTGCAGCGCACCTGTGCCGAGCTCCACAAGAAGCACCTTTTGGGGGCCGGCCGGTGGTGGCGGGTGGGCATGCAAGGGTTTAGGGTTTAGGGTTTAGGGTTTAGGGTTTAGGGTTTAGGGTTTAGGGTTTAGGGTTTAGGGTTTAGGGTTTAGGGTTTAGGGTTTGTTCAATGTTCCGCGCACACCACCACGCGGGACGTGTGTTGTGGTGTGCGCCCAGGTTCAACGCTCTCTCCCAACCCACCCACCCACATCTCAACCTTGGGCGGGTTTAGGGTTTTCATATAGTTGTTGGGCTATCGCTTTCCGTATTATAATATAGCCTTCACACCTAATATCCTCGGTTCAAAAGCCGTCGACGGCCCCAGTCACACGTAAAATCCTCGGTTCAAAAGTCGTTGACGATTTATAATATGCTCGGTTCGGGTCGTGAAGATGACTTTAGACGAAGGGCCCCAGTCAAGTCCTGGTTCAAAGGGCCGGCGACGGTATAAAATCCTCGGTTCAGGTGGTGGGGGCGCCCGAAAAAGCTCAGAAATGGTCCGGAAGAAGCCCGAAATGGTCCGAGAGAAGCCCAGAAATGGTTTAGACGAAAGGCCCCAGTCACACAAAATCCTCGCCGGCGACGGTTCATACCATCCTCGGTTCAGGTGGTGGACGGTCACACGTATCCTCGGTTCAAAGACGGCTCATAAAATCTTCGGTTCAATGAGGGGGGCACAAAAAAGCTCGGAAATGGCCCGGGAGAGGCACAAAAAGGCTCAGAAACGGTCCGGGAGGAGCCCAAAAAGGCTCAGAAACTGTCCGGGAGAAGCTTAAAAATGCTCAGAAACTGTCCGGGAGGAGGAGAAAAAGGCTCAGAAACGGTCCGAGAGGAGCCCAAAAAGGCTCAGAAACTGTCCGGGAGGAGCTTAAAAGGCTCAAAAACTGTCCGGGAGGAGCCGAAAAAGCTCGGAAACTGTCTGGGAGGAGCCCAAAAAAGCTCAGAAACGGTCCGGGAGGAGCCCAAAAAAGCTCAGAAACGGTCCGGGAGGAGC